ATACATTTTCAAAAATATCTGAAAACATGTTTCACTTTGACATTACGTGCTATTTTGTCTCCATGTAACTTCTGTTTCATTCATATCAGTTTTAGAATGAGACTTACAGAGGAAGTGAATGGGTATGGTTGCAATGTGGCACCATGTGTATGTGTAATACTAACAGAAATGAGAAAAAGAACAAAACTTCCAAGTGTAATACTAGCAAGGGTTAGATACAAACGTAAATTTAGATATTGATCACTCAGAATGTCTGCTCCACTGATGTAAATCAAATCCTCCACTGAGCAGAAAGGGGATGTTGAGCTGCTGAGACAAAGGTAAGGTTCTGCAGGAGGTTGTCAGTGTTGAAGCTGTTCATACTTTAGTTGGGGTAGTCATTGCTTTGATCCAGGATACGGTTTTTGGAGAGAAAAGAATGTCTCAGCACAGACTCCACGTCAAATAAAACAAATACAACTGGCAGCCAGATTTTATATGGTGAAATACAGAAGATCTGGAAGAGCTTAAGCATTTCTCTCATTAAATAAGAGTGGGGATTTTTTAACTACTCAAAATCCCCACCAAATAGGGTCATCAGACATGATAGACAGAGATAGTTTTATTTATACTTCCACTGGTTTCATGTTATGGAAGAGGAAAACTTTGCAAAATTCAAAGCAATCTCTTACTCTTCTGCTGATAAGTTCCATATAAGGCTGAGTTCGGTAGCGTTGATCCAACTTTGGCTCATGAAAATAAGCAAAAAAAAAAAAACAGCACCTTCTCCAAAAAATAACAGGAAATCACCAAAAAAATCATATACTTTCCCTCTATTATCACAGGAAAGGACTGCCAAGATGGTACTGATCCCTCAGTTTGTTTCTATTTAAATTTATTGCATCAAAAGTTCTCCTAGCCGCAAAGCAGCGACTAAATCCCATTTTCATGGAGTGACTGGTGCCTATTTACATTGCTCATTGGAAAAGAACAGACCCTCTAGATAAGTTTCCAGTCCATCACACAGCAATACTCAGACACACAGGACCAACAACTATTCAACAGTGTCTAATCAACATAAGTGATATTTTTGAACAGTGATGGCAGGACACTGAAATACCCAGAAAACTCATAAACATGAGCAGAAGGAACGTGGAAACTCCTTACAGAATTTAAACCTTCTACTTGCAAGGGAACACGGATCTACTGTATATCTCTCAATCAGATAATGTTCATTTTTGTTTAACGTTATTCTCAGAAAGACATCCAACCACTCTATTCTTCAAGTTCTTTTGCAGTAATAATCTCACATTAACATATTCCTAATAAAGTCTGGCTTTTGTCTTTAGAATGTATTTAAATGAAGTTATTTTAAAAAGAATTTCATTGGATTATTCTACGATGAAATATACTATCATTAATCAGTTACTTCACAGCTTATAGAGGCATTTTATTCCTCATGTTTACCTATGTGTTGTGTATCAAGCTGTATATTTGTTTCCACCAAAGAGTACTGCAGGCATTTAAATGTACAGGCAAATACAGCCTCTCTTGTTTCTTTTGGTCCTCACTTCCCCCATCAAACAAGGGTAAGGTTGCATCTCTATACCTGCTGTTGGCAGAAAGTGACAGCAGTGCAGACAAGGAAAGCAAAGGCCTTTAAATCAAGATGTCATGTGGTCACTTCTCATGACCCTGTAGCTTCCCAGCAGCTGTTTCCTTTCAGGCTAGTGTTTCATCCAGACCAGGAGAAGTTCACTGAAGTGTGTAGGCACCATATTTTCTAAGTGTGTCATTGCGTGTGCGTGTGTGTGTTTCTGCAACGTTAGAGCAGCACTCTGTTTATCACTGTATATAAGTCAGCGGCTGAGTCATCAGCTTCTCTTCTCTTTTTGCCGTCTCTTCTGCTCCCTTTCTTTCCATTGTTGTCGCTGCTGTTGGGGCCAACACATCTCACGTTTGTCTATAATGTCCCAATTCATCCCTCTCATCTTTCCCCAGTGTTTAAGAAAGCCCATGTGAAGTAAATGATTAAAGAAGACGTCTTTGTATTTATTTGAGTGTCTGAGAGCTAAGAAAATAGATTTCCTTAAGATTGATTTTCTCAAAAAAAGAACCCCATAGCAGTCTCTTTTAAACACACACATACACACACCAACACACGCAGAGTTCATTATTGAAGACAGCATTTGTCAGCTCAGCTTGTCCTGTCATCTTTCAACGCTACATGCTCCAGAGTGGAAGTTTGAAAATAAGTTTTCCTGCCCTATTTTGTACAGGTCTGCTGATGTTTTTGGAGAAGCAGTTACACATTGTATTTTTATTACATATGTGTATAAGTACTGTCAATCAAAAAGCTACGCATCTGCAGTAGGTATATAATATATCTGATAACTATACTTTCAATATATTTAAATGCGTTTACTTAAATAAGCATATTAATCCTCAATACTTTAGCAAATTTTTACAGCCATGGAAATATACTTATCTTTCTTAAAACAGTGTATCTAAGTAAAAGACTTGTAAGATTTCTCAAATTCTTTTGCACTTATGCTGCCGGCATTGTTGGATTTTATGTGGATTTTTTTACATAAATGAATGTATTTATTGCAAAAGCATTTGTCCCTGTTGAACTTTATATTTTGTCACCTTACGCAAAAGACAGACATAGAAAGATTTTTATTGTCATTCAATTGTAAATTTAATAATGTACACATTGGATTTTATTTGGATTTCATTTCGTAGAGCAACTAAAAATGCATTGCAAATGAAAATCTGAAAGATGTGGTGTGAATTTAAAGCCCTCTTTAATCTGATTTCCCTAAATAAAATATAGTGCAACCTTCAGAATAATATATTTAGTACATAAAATATAGATTTGTGTATTTTAATCTCAGCAGATGTAGTACATTTCAGTAGTGCTGCTGTTATTTGAAGGAATAAAATTAGGTTGAATCTTCACATTCAATCCTTAAATGCCTATCATCCTCCTTCCAAAACATCAACTTTGCTTTGCAGCTTATTATTTTATCTGCTATGCATGAAATAATGGTGAAGAAATAAGAAGTGGACACAAAATGAGAAGTGTGTTCCCATGACACAAGACTCGAAAAAGCAAGAGAGAGGATGAGAGTGGGGAGTGCTAAACATGGCAGAGCAAAAGAGGTGCTGTGATCTTCAAGATGAGAGCCTAAGGGGAGTGAAGAGAAGGAGAAATGAAAGTAGTGAAAAAGAAACACTTAAAGAGGAGCAACACATGACAGAATTTCTTCTGAGGCCCCTCCGAGGCATCTTACGAGGCAAAATTTGAGTTAAGAATCAGAGAAAATCAGCATATGGCATTCTTGTATTATTGATGGCGTGTGCATGTGCTCATCTCACATTGCAGCATGATAGCCTTGCGGTGATTTTTGTGGCATTTAAAACTCACCGTTGCTCATGTGTCTCGAGGTATTTTAGGTTGTAAAAGATTAAAAGGCAAAACTCGAATGGGTGGGGAATGCTTTAAAGAACATAATAAGGAAAAGCAGTGGAGTGGAATGAAAGGAGGCAAGATCGGGATAGGGCAAGGGCGAGCTTGCCATGTGTGTTTGAGTGATTGTGCATCTTGTGTGAAGGAGGATGGGACGGGAAACCAAAGGAAGATGAATGGATGAGGAGATTAAACAATCACATAAAAAGACATGAAGAGGGTCTAAAAACAAAGGAGTTCACGTCTCACAAAGTTACCAGGTTCAACCTCCTGAAGTTTGTGTGTGTGAAGTTTGTGTGTGTGAGCTGTTTGTTCCAGAAGACACTGCATTTTAACAGATCTTTACAAGGGATCTTGTAGCTGATACACAGTGTATGAGTTGCATTGTTTTGCAAGAAATGCTCAGACCGCTTCCACTTTTTGACATGTTACTGAAACTCACAATGTTTGGCTTAGCAAGGTTTTCACAGAATAAAGTCAGGACAGTGAATACATTGCACAGTGGAGTACAATTCATTCAACCCCTCTTTTCTATGACACCGCTGTTTACAATGGAGGAGAAAAACACAGCCTTCAAAGTCACAAATGAGGGCTATTTGGAAGAGTGGCAAGAAGAGAGCTATTGATAAATGATAGGTCATAGTATGACTGATTTAAAATTTACCTCAAGACATGTAGGAATAATCCAAACACGTGCAAGAATGCTTTCAAATTTTATGCAAACTACTATGTGAGGTTGAAAACTTACACTAAAAATTCTTCTGGACACTCCGTCACCGCAAACATACCTGGAGCAGCATCATGCTGTGGGGTTTTCTTTCCCTTAACAGGAATAAAGTGACTGGAAAACTTGAGGCTATATGTATCAACACACCTAAATCCAATGAAAAATTTGTGGCAAGCCTTAGAAAATTGGTTTTCTCAGATGCTCTCCAATAAATATGACTGAATTTGGGCTATTTTACAATTGAAAAAATTTAGCTTCTGGTTGTTCAAAGCCAGTAAAAAAGTTCCCCTGGCAGACTTGCTGCTGTTATTACAGCAAGAGGAAGCTCAATAATACTGACTCAGCAGAATTGAATACAAAAGCTTCACACTTTCCAGATTTATTTAGAGAGAATGGAAAAACATAATGATAATACTTTCATTGTCTAACCCCATAAAGTCCCAGTGAAATACACTGAAATTTATTTTGGAATGACAATATCATGCTAAGAAATTCAAAAAGTATAATTGTGCAAAGCTATTCATGCATGCTAATCCATACCTGTTTAAGCGCTGGACATTTCTCAACAAAAAAAAGAAATACTGAGCTTTGAAGTAACTAAAAGCAGAATGACAAACCCTTCCTTGAAGCTTTTCTAAGAGAACATTGAACATGCATTGATTCTGCTGACTGTTCTTCCTTCATCATCGCCCTCTTGGGATTAGCAAGTGATTCACAGAGATGAAGCAAATAGGCCCACACTGACCCACTTGTTAGATTGATAACACTGAATTAGGATCCAATGTGGTCACAATTATAATCTCACTGCAATCAAGACCATACCTTTCTGTGAGGATTGAGAGGTGGGCAGCATGGTGTCAGCAGCTGTTCTTTGTCCACGTTTTGCTTCCTGACCTGACCGTCCTTGATGAGTGCGTGGAGATAAGATGTTCTGCTTTCAAAGTCTTTATCCTGTTTGTTCCCTGGGCCATGTTTCATCCTGGGTTGTTGGTCCTGGTTCAGGTCATGCTGGGTGGGATGTCCCAAAGCTGAGGGTGGGGGGGAGCTCTGCCAGCTGGTTTCCAGGTAAACGATGTGAATGCACCAGCACAGTGCTGTAAGCAGAACAGCCAAACGCAGGAGCAATCCCATGTTCACTTTCTCTCTGCACATGCCCATCTCTGGTCTGTCTGGTTCTATTTACTCCATCTTTTTGCTTACTTTTTGCTGTTTTTATCCCATCTTCCATTCCCCTCTTGAGATCTCCGTAAAAGAGTTATTGAATCTCTAACAATTCAAGATGACTTCTGTTCAGACTCAAACTCACGCACAAGTATGCATCCTCTCAAGCAGGACCGTGTTCATCTTAATGACGCATTCCTGAAAGCAGATTCTGTTGCACATGTGTGCAGTCCACTGAACGTTTTGGTACCTCCCTCCTCAAGTTCACAAGCCCCACTTTTAGCAAACACACACCCCTCTTCTTGCTCGTCTTAGTCTCACTGTCAGGCTACCATCACATAAATACACACACAGACACACCTCTGTGTGTGCCCCCTTCATGGAGTTTCTTCTCCCCCCCATTTCATCTCGGGTTTCTTAAAAACTCCAGATATGGGCAGGGCCAACTAATCAGCTCCAGCTTTAAACAGGACTTTCTCGGCCTCTGTTGGTTGTCCCGTTGACTGACGATGGCTAGTTATTGCATCACATTCCTCACATTCATTCTCAAGTTTACTGTTTTCTTTCAGGCACATAAATAAAGATGTAAGTTTGATTAAGAATGCATTAAAATGTGTTTCTTGTTGTATCACCCTGAGATTTTGTAATTAGAGAAAATGAATCATTTCATCATAATTATTATATGTGCTTCTATCAATATATTTTCTCAAAATATTTTTGTTCTTCTGTAATTAACCTCCTCGATGAAATTCAATATGCATTGGTTTTGCAGTAATAGCAAAACAGAATTTATAGCTTTAAGTATCTCTATATATTTACAATTGTTGCATTATCTATTACTATCATTACTGATGTTTTGTGTAGCACCATTAATAACAAAGTTTTGCACTGTTTCTACTTGTGGAACTAGTTTTAAATGCCCGTATGTGAAGAACTTACTAGGGCCTAAAATAGAGAATTATGTTTTAGATGGAGGAAAGAACCTCCATCCAATGTATATTTTTAATACTTCTGGACTGAAATCCAACGAGGTTTGTGCTGACAATAAAGTTGATTTGCTCCAACTGTTAAAACTCACTGACTAACTTGATTTTGAACATCATCTCACAATAGCTCTTTGATGCCCCCTTGAGGTAGAGGAAAACATGTCCAACAAAATCATGGTCATGATAACTCCTCTGATACATTAGACTTGGAGATCAAGCTGAGATTTTAATGTTTGATTGAGATTAATAAAAAATGTTTAGCTACTATTTAAACAGAAAACATGACTAGACTATTATGCAGTTTGAGATGTAAAGAAAAGAAAGCAAGTTAATCAATTTGCCATATTCTTAGTGATCTTTATTGATTACATTTATCTACCCTCCTTCTTGTGGTGTGTAATCATCAAATAGACTACACATTGTGTGGTTAAGCTCCATGCAAACTACATATGGCAAACCATATGTAGTTTTCAATTTTACCTCTTATTGGAGTTTGGCATAATGCAACTGATTTTCTTCTATAAAAAATGACAAGCTCTGCTGCCACCAGGTGTTACAATGATAGCAAATTTTTGCTCCCATATGGAATGCATTAAAACATCACTTCAGGTTGTAAATGTCCAATGCAATGCAGGTCAGCCCAAAAACACAACAGATGATGGACATTTTTCTCCTTGAGGTTGTCTTAAGTATTTTTTTAAATCAATGTATGGTGTACAATTATTAAATATGAAATAGTTATGGATTTTTTTGTTTTAACTAGATATTGTAAATTGTACTTGATTTGTTTTCCTTGCAATTCAACTTAACACAAAAAGAAAGTCAAGTGTGCTGCTAAAGTGTTTTAATTGAATATTTTTTTCAAAAGTCTCGACATTTAACTTTTTACATAGCATTACGACAATTAACATACAGAAATAATTTAGTCTGCAACACAAAATGGGGCTTGATAATTTGTCAAAACACAACAGTTGTGCCAGATTTGATTGACAGTTCCTATTAAAGTGAGAGGCACCGGGGAATCCCAGATGTGGTTGCACTTTACTCTAGCGATTGCTCGCTCTACAATGATCCGCAGCCGAGCGATGGTCTGGTCTCCTCTGTCTCTTCCTTGCTGAACTGACCAGGATGCCTAACTGGTGGAATGATGAGTTTGGCTCCAACTTTATGAAGGAGGTCTTGAATGAGGAAGCCTTTATCTGCCATGACTTCATCTCCCAGCTCAAGCAGAGGAAGGATTCCACTGACCTTCGTTATTTCTTTGTCGGAGATGCAGCCTGTGTACAACGCTGAAATAAATGTCACCAACCCACTGGGAGCAACTCCAATCAGCCCTTTCAGAGTGGTGTGGTTCTTGTAGGCAGAGAATGTTTCAGACTGTAAGGTGAGGGATGATGGCGTTTCCAGAGCAACTTCTGTGCAGTCCAAGATGACATGGACATTTGGAAAGAACTTCAGAAATTTCTGAGGCATACTGGCTTTTATCTTCTCACGACTAATCCACAGGTTGATGGAAGAGAACACAATGAAGAGGTAGTTGGCCCAGGTGATGGTCACTTGGCTGACAGTAGCTATGCTGACTTGAAACATGTCAGCAATGATCTGCTCCTTCATGGCCACTGCTACCCTGAATGAGAACATCAGGAACTCATCAATCAGAGGCATGCAGCAGGCAGGGCTGGCTTCAGCACATGCTTCCTCTCCAAGTTTCTGTGCTCTGGTCCAGAACACCAGGCATGATGCAGAGGGTGCAATGGACTCCCAGAAGATCCGGAAACACACATTCAGATGGAAATTTGGTGTAGAATCGGATCTGGTCATCAGAGGCACAGTAGCGGCTAAAAAGTGTGGCAGACAAATCCACTTTTTGAAGTCTGGCCTCCAACTCCTTGATATAATCCAGAGCTTCATCAAGTGCACCTGTAAAACCACAAAATAAAATAGCAAAACATACGGTTAGCAATAAGTTTTAATTATATATTTGAAACATTACTTCTGTGAAGATCAATACATGTTGTGAGTCGGAGCATGTATTTTTTTTTTATATGCGAACAGTATACAAAGACTCGTTGAGGTACAAAGAACATTACAACATAGGTAAATAAGAAACAAAGAGAACAAGGGGCTAAAAATACAGACAGAAAAAACAAACAGCAAGGCAAATGACTAAAAAACCGAGCAAGATTCAAAACAAAAGAAAAGTAGAGATACTGTCAGTTACTTTTTTGCAAACCTAAAGTTTCAGGGAAATGTAAAACAGCTTAAACTGATTAATAAAAAATCAAAACAAGGAGTAGAACCTCTCCATTTACAGCAATGTATATGATACTTAACAAGTAAGAAAACAATATTTACCACATCAGATATTTGATCATCAAGGTCATCAACATAATACAATATGTGGGTGATATTTATCTCAGGGATGTCTTCAATTTTAAGACATAACCAATTTTTAACATCTTTCCAAAGTTTAAAAGAAAAAGGACAGGAAAAAAAAGAGACGACTTAGAGATTCTTCTGCACATTCGCAAAAGGCACAACATGTTAAATCAAATTTAAATCGTTTGTGCAAAAATTCAGCCACGGGGTAAATATTGTGAGAGATTTTGAAATGAGTCTCTTTCACCTTGGGTGAACCGGACATTTAACATACTCAGAAAACGCTTTCTCAATTAAAGACAAATTAGTTGTTACCAAAAAATTATTATTGTAATTATTAAATAATTTAGATTTGAAAGCAGTCACAAGCATACCATTATTACACTTTTTATCAGTCACAATATATTCTCCAATTTCGAGTTGGACCATGTATGTATACAGCCATTGACTTAATCTCTCCACAATACACTCCTGATCAAAATGTTAAGACCAGTCAAAAATTGCAAGAATTTGCATTTTGCACTAATGAATCTTAAGAAGGTTCTAAGTAGAGCTTCACAATGTTAAAAGAAAACAATCAGTGCAAGAGACAAGAACATTGAGCAGGGAATTTTCTGAAAACTGCATTTACACTCAAACATGATTTTTTCAGCTGATCAAAAGTTTAAGACCATAGCTCAAAAAACCCCAAAACCCCGAAAACAGAAATCAAAGTGCCAAAAAAAAAACCCTTTTTTGACTGGTCTTAAGATTTTGATCAGGAGTGTATACATAACCACATAATCTCATAATTTCATTATTATGTGATCATAATAATACTAATACTAATAATAATGATAATAATAATAATATAGCAACAGTTGTATTTTACTGAAATTATCTTACATGGAAAATATATACAAAATGCTATCTTTTACCTGCGGGTGGATGTGCCGTGTAGTCATGGTCCGCAGTAGCATCTTCAGCCTGGCTAGTTTCTGAGAGGACAAGCTGCCGTTTCTTAGTCCTCTCGAAAGCAGACTCTCTCATTGCCGGTTCAGAGAAGTTATTCCAGGCAAACAGGGAAGGAACAGCTCCACTTTTAAGGCGGCTGGTGGTGGATCCGCTAACAAAATCCTCCGGTGTGAAGTGGCGGCTACATACGAAAGTGCTCCCCGTCTTTATGCAAAAGTCCGGACCTTCGTCTCTTCGGATCGCCTGGATCCACTGCCTCCGTTGGTCCGGCTCCGTCGGGAACGCATGATATGAAAGATAAGGCTGTTTTGTTGCCCCACATGAACAACCAGGGAATGAACAAAAAACAACTGTGCCGAGACTGAGCTATTTTCCCAGCCTTTTAATGCTAACGCTATAGCCCACCGGAAGTTGTCCAACGCCACATCCGCCCCGGCCCCGCGCATGCGCACAACTGCTACGGTCCCGCGCATGCGCACAACTGCTACGGTCCCGCGCATGCGCACATCCACCCGGGCCCCGCGCATGCGCACATCCGCCCGGGGCCCGCGCATGCGCAGTACCGGCTTAGCCCCGCGCATGCGCACTACTGCCCCGGCCCCGCGCATGCGCACTACCGCCCCGGCCCGCGCATGCGCACTACTGGCCCGGCCCCCGCGCATGCGCAGTACCGGGCCACCCCGCGCATGCGCACTACCGCCCCGGCCCCGCGCATGCGCACTACCGCCCCGGCCCCGCGCATGCGCACTACCGCCCCGGCCCCGCGCATGCGCACTACCGCCCCGGCCCCGCGCATGCGCAGTACCGGGCCCCCCGCGCATGCGCACTACCGCCCCCCCCGCGCATGCGCAGTACCGGCCCAGTCCCGCATGCGCAGTACCAGCCCGGCCTCACGCATGCGCACATCCGCCCCGGCCCCGCGCATGCGCACTACCGCCCTGGCCGCGCGCATGCGCACTACCGCCCCGGCCCCGCACCCGTGGGGCGGGGCGGGGGTATTGCACAGAGTACATCTGGTTGAGAAGAGCAGTCCTTGCTCGCGATCCAGCTTTGATTTTTGGTTACGTTCTTTTCGAGTTAAATAAGTCCGCAAACTAAAGTTACCACTTCAACGTCGTTGTCCATGTTTGTTTACTCTAAATTCAGCTGTGGCAGCGCAGAATTTTTATTTGATGGGATTTCGTATCTGGAATTAGAATGTCTCCGAGTGAAACCTCACACTCTGCTATCGAACCCGTTACACCTACGATTTTACATCGGCTAGTGTGTGGTCTCTCTCTCACGTTTTCAGAATCGGCCGACTTTTCTAAAATCGTGTAGTGTGAACTGGGCTTTAGATGAAAGGGACGTCAGAGTGTCTGACGTATGAAGAGCATCAAACTGTGTTTCTGTTATTTTATTTTTTTATGGAACACAGTCGGGGTTTTCTGTGGTGACAGATGAGTTACACATATTTCAGTGATTCCTAAAAATGTAAAGCCAAAATCTGCCACGTGGAATACATCTGTGCCTGTTTTTTTTCTTCTACTCCTTCAGAGAACAGATGTCATATAAACTCATTCATCTTGTTGAAAAAAGTGCAAAGTGTTATTACAGATGAGTCACAAGTTGGTTTTTAAATCAATAAACTATTTAACTAACACAGAAACTTTTTTTTTTCTGTCTAATGCCACTTGAAAAAAAAAAGTTGAAAACCCACCTGTTGAAATAGCTGTTTGGATTAAGTGAGATACACTGATGATGTGTTAAAGAAAGAAGGAAAAAGGCAGGGCAACTCTATTGAAGTTTAAAGAAAAAGCAAAAAAAAAAGAAAAAAAGATGAGTGTCTTCCATGTATTTAAAATGGAATCTAAATCTAAATGCAGCATGTCCTGCACTGTGCCGAGGTTCTGTAAATGGTTAAACTGGAATCAGCTTGACTAAAAGAGCTCAGAGTTGAAGCTACCTCACAGCTGGTGGCCACACTGCGAACTGGATGAACAGTGTGACGTTTATCCTTTAACCTGCTGCTGCTGAAGTGGGAAGAGACCAGTTGTGACAGGAGCAGGTGAAGGTTAGACAGTGTTTGCGCTCCACTGGGCTCCAAGTTATCACTGACACACACAAGTTCAAAGAGCTATATCCCCACAGAGGTACATGCGCTGATGCAATCTGAAACTAAGCCACACATTGGACATTTTTGTCAACAAAGCGTAAACAAAATGTTAAAAATGAGTAAAGCTTCTCCAGCACCTTTAACTTTTGAACATTTGTTATTTTTCAAACACAACCTTTAATATGATTTATATAGTTTGCATGGCGCAAACTACCGATGGTGAAGAACAAGGACAATTATATTGTGCATGCTTTTCTAATTGTTTTTGCAATAGCAAATCAGAAAAGGTGTGACAAACATTTTTATTGAGTTGCTTTCACTACGACACTTTTGAAAAACTGTCATAGCAGCCATTTAAAAACTGTACTTATAGGAGGATGCACTGACTGTATGGGTGCTGTTTTTACAGAAAACACATAAACAGAACAGGAAAATATCACAATGAGGTCAGCAAGATTTACCATAACGACATGCTGACATGTCACCGAAAAAAAAATATGGAGGAGGAAGTAATTTTCTACTGCTGAGAAAATTACTTATCAGATGTGATATATAGTGTTGCGGTGCTGTGTATGTTTCCATTTACTATTTCGATGTTACAACATTAATGTTGTAAAGCTCTATGTTTTAGAATACTTTACTTTTTCATTTATTTATTTTTTAAAACAACAATAATCCAGTTACTTTTTGGATGAGGATGACACAGGTGTTGGAATATTTAGTAGTTGTTGAAACTCAATATCTGCCACTCAAAACATTTTGGAAATATTTCTACTTCAGGACAAAATAAAACAAAAAATAACTTTTCTAATCCACAAAAAAGGCTCCAAACCTCTAAAAAAGGTGGTGAATAAACATTTCAATGACACACACAAAGAGAAAAAAAATGCTATTTCCTCTTGCTCACACAAAATGGAAGAGCACATAAAATATCCTCAGATGGAGGATAATAAAGTGAAAAAGAAGATGCAGTTTACTTGTACGTACAAAATGTTTTACTGCTGTCTATAAATGTTTGAAAAACTAACCTCTTTTGAGAAAAATGTCCTCTGCAAACTTTTATATTTTGCTAACAGAAAAGCAACACCCCCAATCATGACTTTACTTAATGGATTTGGGCAATCAGTCAGCTGTTTTGATCAGTCCACGATATAAAGGAGAGAAAGTATTTTTCAAAGAAAACTATTTATAAATGACCTCTTATCAGTTGCCAGTGGTGATCAATTTTATTTATTTTCCATCTGACAAAGTGCACCACAGATACCATCAGCACTCCTGCTGGATCCAGCCAAAGCAAGATGCACCAAGTCAATACAGTGACAGCTGCAGCACATATTAATCATTAATCAGATAGGATCAATGCATAGGCAAAACTGGCAAAGGCTACAGTCTCAAAATCGCTCTAGTGACGCGTGAGAATTGTTTTCTCAATGTATTTCTTTCAGAAGATTCTGTGGTGACAGACGAGTTACACAGAAGATTCTTCATAAACTTTATTGGCACAATAAGATATTGACAACACAGATCCAGTTGCAAATAATCTTGTGATATGTGAATTAAGACGATGTCGTAAATACAAAATATTAAAAAGTATTCACACTTCTTGAGAGTTTAGTGTTACAAACTCAAACTTTCTCTTCTTGTAGCCAGTAACAACAAAGTTGAAGAAATGTTACAATATTCACTATTTTCTCAGTTGCAAAAAATTAATAAAACATATTTCTTTTTAACCAAGGAAGAGTGCAAACATAATATTGTTAGAGTTAGTGACGATAAAATCAGCTGTTCATCGTCAGTTTTTCTCACTCTGTACAAGTCTGTCTGTACAGCAGTGAGAGTCTTTACAGGCTTTAACTTTGCACTGGTAGCAGATTACAGCAGAAATGTGTTTATAGAAAGCCCGGGACGCCCAGGGGAAAACATGCTTGGTGTTTACAAAGGCATGTTTACGAGAGGAGCTTCTCTGTCTTTATATTGTGTCCCTAAAATAAGAGCTCTCCGGTTAGATTACGTGTTTGTTTTCCCCCTTTCTGGAGGTCACTATCAGGTGACTGATTCTGAAAGCTCGCTGTCATTAGTTGTGTCAATTTAACACGATTGATGGTCGCATGACTGCATCAAAAGCCCCGATTATTCAGCCTCTGATCACATTGGAGTGACTTGAGGGGGGATGGAAAGAAACACAGATGATCATATTGACAGGTCCGGAACGAGCTTCATTAGGCTGAAAAAGTACAAGAAGTACAAGAAGAAGTTTTGAGAAGACATCTGCCATGCACGCGTGCGTGCGTGTTGGCGTGTGCAATCGGTGAATAATACATTTTGCGCCCCTCCTACTCACCGCGAGTGAAAGTCATCTTGAACGTTTTCAGCTCCGAGCCGCTCAGAGAGAGCTGCGCTGTCTGCTCGGGAGAATCGCACCGGGAGCGCCAAGGCGCAAACACAGACCGCAGAGATGACTGTGGAGAGGATGTTCGACGAGTATGGACACTTCAAAAGGTAAACACTGACTTTCCGTCCTTAGTTGTCCCTCACCACCCCACGTTTTTGTTGGCTTAATGAGAGCCAGATGACAATATTCTGAACATTGTTCTGATTGAAATGGATTTCAGACCGTTTTAGTAACCCTGTTTTAAAAATAAACACTAGTAACAGCTGTTTCACCTGAAATCATTCATTGGTGATTTTAATAAACCATATTCCATATATATATATATATATATATATATATATATATATATATATATATATATATATATATATATATATATACAGACAATAAAAGGACCGGAATTATTTCTATATTTTGGCTTCTCAGCAAAGTGCTCTGAGAAAGTTTCCATTATCTTTCCACCATTTATCAAGTTACAATCACAGACTACAAATTGTTGTGTACGTTTGTTTTCAGCACTTCTGAGTCAATTTCATGTTAACTAAAAGTAAATAATACTTAAAGTATTATCTGCAAAATAGTACCAACGGAACAATTAGATTGGGTGGAGAGCACTTGTAAGCAGGACCTCTGCTGACTTTCTTTCAACAATAGCTTCTTCTTGTCGCTGTTCAATAAAACAAATCTCCTCACAATTATCAATTGTCCCATCCTCCACCTGAGCTGTGAATATTTGCAGCTCCTTCAAAGTTACCATGTTGGTTTTGGCTGCTTCAACAATTAATGTTCTCTTTCCCTGTACTGCTGTCGCTGGTGCCTAATTTTACTTCATGTCCATGCAATAATCTGAACAGTGATGAGTGAGATTCTGAAAGCCTGGGCTGTTGCTTCATAACCCAACCCTTCTTTTAACATCTCTACAAGCCCTTATCCCTGACCTGTTTCCTGGACTCATTGGTGTTCATGTGCTCTTTGTTCACTCATGTTTTCTAGCAAACCTCTTAGTTCTTAAAACAAGAAAGCTTGTTTTAAGACGAGCTGGATTTATACTGAGACAAAATGACATCCTGGTGAACTCTATTTTCTGACTAGTTGTTTAATGGGAATAATTGGTTACACTTGTTCTGTAGTTAGGGGTATCAGAGCAAAGGGGTCAAGCCACAAATACACAATATTTTGAGGTCAAGAACAGAACAAAAGCTACTCTGCATTTTTTCGTATTGGGCTGTGAAATAAAGTGCAATGTGACAACCTCTGAGATGGTTCAAGCAGTATGAACACTTTTGTAGTAGGTTGTTTTTATTCAGTACACTGTCTCCTTAGAAAGGTATACCAACAATCGTTAGAAGTCAGGAACGTATAAACATAACAGAATGACTTCCTCTTTTTAACCATTTACATTTTAACTTCTCTCCAGGTTCCAGGCCTGTCTGTATTTTGCTGCTGTCTTCCAGGCCACAGCATGTGGAATCCACTACCCTTGCCTCAGTTTTTCTGGTCGAGACTCCAAACTTTGTGTGTGGTGTGCCAGGCAACATCACCGATGTCCTGTATGGTAATATAACTGGATCCAGTCTGGAAAGTGTCTTGCCAGTCATCAAGCCAGCTGGCGGGCCTTTGGTGGTTCGAACATCTGACGGGGAGCAATGGGAACTCAGCCGGTGCCGCTCCGCCCTGCGCATCAATCCCCAGGACTTTACATATGATTTTTATGGCAACAAAACTATGACAGACTGCAGTGGGAACTTTATTTACGACCACACCGAAGTTTATAGTAGCATTGTGACAGACTGGGACTTGGTGTGTGAAAATGAGTGGCTGGCCAAACTGTGCCAGCCAACTTTCATGCTTGGAGTCCTGATCGGAGCACTGCTGTTTGGGGATATTGCTGACAGGTAAGCAATGGTTCCAGAATGGAGTAAGAAAGAAATCAAAGCATTTTATTGTGAATTATAATTCATTTTTTTTGTTTGTTTTTTTGTCAGAATTACAGCTGTGGAAAACATATGACAACTAATTATGAAATGTTCACATATTGATTTCTAATTCTTAAATAAAAGATAGCCTTGCATGTTGTTGTTTCAAATATGCTCTACATCAAGACTCTTTTTCAAACAGTGTAACAGCTGATTTCTCTTTTAAGCCCCACTAAACTATGATCACTTTCAATCTTGTCATGTGATGCACTCTCTCAAACTGTCTGAAGCAACACTAGGAGAGCTCCGACAGATAAATTGACATGGCTTAACAGCTGAGACTTGGCTGGTCAGCATTTATAGGAGAGCATGCTTGGCATGTAGTCTACTAAATCATTTAAAAGGGTCTACACTGACAGA